GTGTCTGCCAGGAGGGTATGCGAGCCTCTGTCCTGCCTGCACATCTGGTGCTTCTGCCCACCTGTGCCCAGGACCTGCTGGACAGCTGAAAAGTGGGAGGTTTGGGGCAGGGAGCGGGGAGGTCCCTCAGGCCCTTGTCCACACTGAGGCTGCAACTCACCATGGCTGGGATCAAGTCAGGACGCAGGGCGGCCACTCACACAGCCTTTCTGCTCAGGACCACACAAGGTGGGCATGTGGCCCCATAGCTGGAGCCCAGTGCAGACCCTTAGCCTGCATGAGTGCCCGGGGATGGTCCACACAGCCCAGGCTCTTGACTCGAGTGGACGGGGACTCCAGAAGGCAGTGGCACTGGGTCCCTGACCCCCGTGGTGAGACCAGGACCCAGCTCCCTGGCCAGCCAGACCACTACAGGCAGGTGGCCAGTGGAACAGTGACAGGTCTCTTTCAACCTCACGTTAATTAATTGGAGAGAATCATTGAGAGGTCTGTGGAATGAGTTCCTTGCCACCTCGATGACCCGATATCACAGTTCAAAAACAGAGGCACTGGGGAGCAGGGGACCCGCCAGGGAGAGGGTCATCACTGCTGAGGCCCTCCCCCCAGCCACACACAGCTGTCTCTCAAAACACAAGGACAGGGTCAGGGCTGTGGTGCAGCAAGTAGAGCATGGCCGCAATGCTGGCATCCCACATAGCTGCCGGTTCAAGTCCCAGAGACTCCACTTCCCATCCAGCTCCCTGCTAATGGCCTGGGAAGCTAGCAGAAGACTCCCAAATGCTGAGGCCCCTGCACCCATAGGGGCACCCTCGGGGGCCTGGAGGAGGCCCCTGCACCCACAGGGGCATCCTGGGGGGGGCCTGGAGGAGGCCCTTGCATCTACGGGGGCACCCTCGGGGCCCTGGAGGAGGCCCTTGCATCTACGGGGACACCCTCAGGGGCCTGGAGCAGGCCGTTGCACCCACAGGGACACCCTCGGGGGCCTGGAGGAGGTCCCTGCACCCACGGGGGCACCCTCGGGGGCCTGCAGGAGGCTGTTGCACCCACGGGGGCATCCTGGGGGGCGTCTGGAGGAGGCCCCTGGCTTCCATGTGGCACACCCCTGACCACTGCAGTCATCTGTGAACTGGCAGACCAAAAGCCCTCTTCCCTCTCTGTAACTGTCTTCTAAATAAATAAGAAACCTCATGGCTTCAAAACCCGGAAGCTGACAGCAGCCCTGGCCCTCAGGACGGGCTGGGGCCTTCCCCGCAGGGCCGCAGGCAGCGCATGCAGTCCTGGGGCTGCACCACGGGGTCCCCCTTTGCGTCCGGCTCCTGGGCCAGCACTGCCATCTGTGAGGACAGAGCCCCAGGGCCGGGGAGCCCCAGGCCAGGCTGCCCTCCTCAGGGACCCAGGGCCCCGGCAACGGTCTCCTCTTCCTCTTCCGGCATTTTCTCCCCCCCCTTGGGGGATGGCTTGGGGGGCTGCGGCCAGAGCTGGGTCCGTGGACTCCCGCCGACCTCCCCGGCCACCCCCTACGGAGGCGCGGCCTCGCGTGCGTGGGTCTCCCGCGTGTCAGAGCCCTTGGCCTAACGGGGCCGCAGTGAGGGCGACGCGGGGGCGCTGCACCCGCCGCCCAGGCCCGGAAAGGAGCGTCCCCCGTGTCCACTCACGTCGTCCATGAGCAGCAGCAGGATGTTGGGGGGCCGCGCGGCGCCCGTGCTCCCCGGCCCCACGGCGCCCAGCAGCAGCAGCAGCAGCAGCAGAGGCCACCAACCGCTCCCCGCGGCAAGAGCCGCCATGGCAACCGGCGAGCCCACCAACCGCACCTCGGGAGCCAGCCCGGCCTCGGGGGCGTGGCCTCGGCGTAGGGGCGGGACCTGGGCTGGGCTGAGCGTCGGCGGGGCGTGGCCACGGCGGGAGGGCGGGGACGAGTGCCGGCGGGGCGGGGCCACGGCGGGAGGGGCGGGACCTGGGCTGGCTAAGCGAAGGTGGGTGGGGCGGGGCTGGCTAAACGACCGTTGGGCGGGGCGGGGCGGGACCTGGGTTGCCAGAGCGACGGCGGGGCGGGGCCCGAGCGCACGGATGCGTACAGGCGCAGGTCACGTGACACGGCCGAGGCGCTTGGCCTCCAAGATGGCGGTGTGCATTGCGGTGATCGCCAAGGAGGTGAGTACGGGGCGGCGAGTGTCCCGGCTGCTCGGGCCCGGGCACTGCTTCGGCGATGGGCGCCGCCAGGCCCCCCGCTTCTGCCTGCAGTGTCAGCCCCGGGCCGCTCGGCCTTCTCCGTCACGCCACCGCGGTGGCCGGCTGCCGTCTGTCCTGGCCGACCCTGTGCTCTGCCGGAATTCCGGGCCGATGGCCTCTCCCTGGCCGTGCCCAGCTGGGGAGCGGCAGGCCGGGGTCCCGGGTGCTGACTCAGCCTGCGGGGGACGCCTTGTTTCTTGCAGAATTACCCTCTGTACATCCGCAGCACCCCCACGGACAGCGAGCTCAAATTCCACTACATGGTGCACACATCCCTGGACGTGGTGGACGAGAAGATCTCGGCCATGGGAAAGGCCCTAGTGGACCAGCGGGAGCTTTACCTGGGCCTTCTCTATCCCACAGAGGACTACAAGGTGTATCTTTCCGGGGATGGCCGGGGCTCCTGGGGGTCCGAGCCTTGCAAATCCGGGTTAGGGTGCCCCGGCATATGGAGGCTCCTCCCTTGACAGAAGACGCCTGGGACAGCAGGCTGGGTTCCCTGGACAGTGAGTGTCCGGGGCTCCTGTCTGGGCTTCGAGGGACTGGGGACTCTGCTGTGTCCCCCAAAAGGCTGGTGGGTGAGAGACTTGTTAGGTCTATCCCAGCGGCTCCCACTGGCCGTGCTGTGGCTTGTCCGGTCGCTGTCTTTGCCCCACCCCCGTTCTGCAGCGTGCTGGGCTTCTCCGAGGGGTCAGGCCTGGACGGTGACCCTGCCAGGCACTTGCTGCAACTTGCGCTGCCCTCCCACTGTCCCCTGTTTTCCCTGACCGAGCCTGCAGGTATGGCTACGTGACCAATTCCAAGGTCAGGTTCGTCATGGTGGTTGACTCTTCCAACACTGCCCTTCGTGACAACGAGATCCGCAGTGTGAGTGTGGGGGGTGCGGGGACAGGGCCAGGGCTGGTGGGGAGCCTTGCCCCGCAGGGCAGCCTAACCCACAGTGGCTGGGTCTTGTTCCAGATGTTCCGGAAGTTACACAACTCCTACACGGATGTGATGTGCAACCCCTTCTATAACCCTGGGGACCGGATCCAGTCCAGGTGGGCCAGGCCTGGGAGCACGCAGCCCTTTGGGTGGGTGGACCGCGGTTTTGCCTTCTCATTGCGGAGGCCTAGCCTGGGCCACTGTGGGAAGGACAGGGCTGGCCCTGCATGCTCCATGTGTGCCCAGTAAGGGCCCAGCTCCACTGGGAAAACCACTAGGGTGCTGCGGAGGGGTTACTGCCTGGGCGGTGGGGCTGGAGTCCAGCCTCAACTCCGTGTCCTGGGCTGGGCGCCCTCTGAGCTGCTGCACTGCCTCTCTTGGCAGGGTCTTTGACAACATGGTGAACTCCATGATGGTGCAGGTGTGCTGAGCTGAGACTCTGGCATCGCTCAGGAGAACAGCTGGGCTGGCTGCCTCTCCCCACGTGTGTGCGGGCTGCGGGCTGGGTCCCCGACGCCTCTCCCTGACTGTGAGCTGCGGGCTGGCTCCGCGACCTCTCCCCTACAATGCAGCTAGCTGAGGCGGAAGCCGTCGGTCTGACCCACTAAACATCTTATGAGGAGACTTGTTTTTCCTTCTGCGCCTGAGGAGCCGCTGACAGCCGGGGAATGGCTGGAGTGGGAGCAGTGACCCTGCTGAGCCGTGTGGATAGAGGGCACAGGCTACTCACCTCCCATTGGTAGGACACACTCCTGGCCTCGAGCTGGGGGCTGCAGCTCGAGGCGGGGTCCTTCCTGTCTGGGCCTGGCTTTCAGGTGGCACCTGGCCCAGTGCCCTGTACAGTCCATCTGGTCAGCTGCCTCCACGTCTACAGCATAGCCCACACCCTGTCCTCCTTGTACCAGGACAGGTGACTGTGACCGGTCCCAACTGGTTGAGTGCTGTGGGCGTCACCTGGCTATGCTGAGGAGCGAGTCCTGGCATGGGAGCTCACCAGCCAGCCAGCCAGCCTCCAGGAGAGCCTGGGGGACTTGATGGAGGTCCCAAGTGCTGAAGCTGCAGGGTATAGCCTTCCTGCCTGGTCCTGGAGTGACCACTCAGATCCTTCCAGGGGCTCAGCCTGGGAAGCATGAAGACAGACCCCTGCCTGGGGCAGCAGCCCTCTTCAGAAGCCCCTGTTACTGTTTCTTGTCAGGGGCTCCCATGGGGAGCAGAGTGTTCCCATGTGTGCCGACAGCGGCGTCTGGCGTCTGTCAGCTGCTCCTCCCTCCATCCCTGGGCCACCTCAGTCCAGGGGCAGGCAGTGCCTGTGCCCTGCCAGGGGTTCACCTGTAATGGGGGCACACCGAGGGCCTTCCACCTGGCCTGCTCTGGTCCTTGGGAAGGGGCAGGTGTCCTGGGATTTAGGGAGCTGACAGAACAACCAGGACATGTGGCAATCTCCATGCTCAGCAGGTGCTAACAGCTGCCTAAGACTGTGGGGACCCCTCCCTCTCAGGTCTGGGGCACTGCCAGATACCCGTCACTTGTGTGGGTGGGGTGGGTTCTGGACCCCTGCCCGGGACCTTCAGCCACATCTCCAAGCCACATGTGGACCCATGTCCTGGACAGCAGTGGGGAGGCATCCATCATGCTTTTAAAAGATACTCAAGTTTAATAAGTTGCACATTCCTGCTAAGACATACACTTATGTTTCTCTAAAATGGATTCATTCCAGGGCACACTGACCCCAGGGCCCAGCAGAGTGTAGAGCAGACCTGTACTCTGGCTGCGCCCTGTGGGGCCTCAAGGGCTGTCCTCCAGCTGGGCGCCAGAGGGCAGCAGAGGCTCTGGTCACATCACCCACTGCCACCCGCCCTGTGGCAGTAACTGGTCTGGCTGTAGACGTTGGGGCACCTCAGTATGGCGAGAACCATGGCAATGCTCTCCCCCGGCCCCTGCAAAGGGATGGGGGCAGGTGAATGGCCTCTGTCAGAACCCTAGGGACAAGGGGAGGCTCACAGGGACTCTGGGGAGGGGCCTGGTTCCCCAGGAGCACCCACCATGCCCAACTCACCGGTTCTGCCCTCGGGGTCTGAAGCGAGGCCTGCCCAGGAGGCTGCTGCGGCAGAAGGGAAACGCCGCTCTGGAGCCGTGGTGCAGCCGCAGGCCCCCACGGTCCGTGGAGCTGATTCCTGGGAAGTTGGTCCTTTTGGGCAGCACCTGGAGGACCACAGACTCCGCTGGTCTCCAAGTCCCCGCCCAGGGCAAAAGCTGCCTTCAGCAAAGTTCCCAGGGTTTCTCTGCCCGGTCTTGCAGGCAGGAACGGACAGACCCCAGCCCATCAGCCCATTTGCCTGAATTCAGGTCCAGAGTCCTGTGCTGAGTTGGGCCCCAGCGTCCTGTCTCCACAGGGGTGACAGGTTCCCCTGCAGGGGGAAGGTCCCTGCTTGCCTCACCCCGACCTGTGCCTTCTCTGCTCTCCAGGACCGGTGGTGGACGGACAAGCAGTGATCTGTGGGGCCAGGGCTACACACCTTAATGACTCGGCCCCGAAAGACACTGGCATCCAGCCCCACAGCAGCCTGGGCAGAACGCTCACTGGCAAACTCTATGTAGGCGTAGCTGGGGACAGAGGTGACAGAGTGAAGGCCCAGCTCCAGCTGCCGCCCACCCTGGCCCTGCCACAGCCCTGCACCGACCCCTTAGGGTGTCCGGAGAACTTGTCGCACAGGATGGTGACCCGCTGGATCTCGCCACAATGGTTGAAGTAGGCCTCCAGCTCCTCGGCAGTGCCCCCGTAGTCCACCTGCCCACAGGGACCCCGAGATGGGTGCCCCCAGACAGGGAGCAGAGAACCCCGAGAGGGCTTCAACCCAGGGCAGCGTGACAGGGAGAGATCCAACAGCCAGGGCTGGGCCGGGCCAGAGCCCGGAGTGCCATCCAGGCCTCTGCCATGGCTGCAGGGCCCAGCACTCGGGGCTGTCTGCTGTCTCCCAAGGGTGTCAGCAGCTGGGACTCCAACAAGCACTGATACGGATGTTGCATGCCAGCTGTGGCTCACACCCGCGGGGCCCTCAGCTGCCACCACCCCGCCGTCCCGTGGAAAAGCCTGGCCCTTCCCACAGACAAGGACCCTGCCACTCACGTTGCCCACGTAGATGGACCTGTGATCAGCCTCCACTTTCTCCTTGGGGGTCCCGGGTAAGGAACAGCCTAGGGAGACAGCAGCCTCAGAACTACACATTGTGGCAGTAGGGCTCATCCAGTACACCTGTGGAGGCCCACCAGGCCCAGCCTGATTCCAAGATTGTGGGGGAGGTGAGGCTCTGGCCCCTACCGGAGGTCTCAGAGCTGAGCAGCTGGCTGGCCTGCGTATCCTCCTCCTCATCAGCCTCGCCTCCGGCTCCAGGTGCCTCTGGCGTCTCCTCGGCCTGCTCCATGGCCCACAGCTTCAGCTTGATGGCCTCCAGCTCCTGCTGACACGTGGCCCAGTCAGCTGAGGAACCCTGGGCTCCTGGGGGGACGAGCCCCTTGCAGGCCACAGAGGCACACTGGAGCCCACCGGAACAGAAGCCTCTGTATTCCCGCCCTTGGGGCTGGGGCCTCCTGAGAGCTGGAGCTCTTACCTGGTCAGGAACCGGGCACTGGGCCAGGTGCTCCGGCTCCAGCAGGGCCAGCAGCAGGCCGGCATCGTCCTCCGTTTCCTCCTCCTGCTCCTTCCCGTGCCCAGCGTCAGCCCCCACTGGGGTCTTCTCAGTCCTACCCCAGGCCCCCCAGCCCTGAGCCTTGGGGTCCGAAGAGACCACCTGGAGCCAGGTCTCAGACGGCGGTGGGAAGAGCTTGCGGCTCAGGAAGGGCCACATGGTGCTCACCTCCACGCCGCACCTGCTCACTCTGCTTTAAGCTCCCGCCCAGGCCAGCTGCACCCACTAGAGCCCTGAGAGGCCAAAGCTGAGTGTCGGGCCTTGCAAGGCGCCCCCTGCTGGGCACCCACGCAGCGGGCTGGGCTAGTAGGGGGCTTCAGTCACCGAAGCGGGCTTGAGGGGATGCAACCAGCAAGAGGCAGAGATGCAGGGAGTGGGCTTCATTCAGTAAAGTGGATGAGGGCAGTGTGGGCCACGGGAGGCCGGAGATGCGGGTCGTACCAGGCAGGGCCCTGGCTTCCGGGTGGACAGTGGTGAGGGCCCCTGGGCCCGTGCTGGGAAGCTGCAGAGTCCACTCTGGTTGATTTCATGCTGACAGGCACGGCCTCTGGGCCCCTTTATGGATGTGGCCGCCTGGCCCCAGGGACATGATTGGGAAGGAACCCAGTTGGATGACCGGGAGCCACCCTGGGAAGGCGGCGGCGCTGAAACCCATCCCTGAGGCTGGCACCCTCAGAGTCAGGGTGTGTGGTGGGAAACCGCCAGCCTGGGCTGTGTGGAGCAGACCCCAGGCCAGCCTTCCATGACGCCCTTGGCCTGCGGGTCCCCTTGGTGGGAGGTCCCAGCCAGTGCACCTTAGGTAGGGATCAGGGTCCTTCCTGGGGTCCACAGCTGCCCAGGCCTCCCAGCAGGTTCAACTGTTAACTGCTTACCCAGGAGCGCTGGGGCCTGGGAGCTGGGCAGGCAACCCCCACCCATATTGGAGTTCTGCCAGGGAACGTGTCCCCCCGCAAACCACTGGGCCTGTGTGGCCCCAGCTTCCTGACAGGGCCTGTGTTGACTCCTAACATCCCCAGGCTGTCTGCCAGAGCTCAGCCAGACCAGCACCCAGGAGGAGGGTGCCACAGAGGAGCTGCTCAGGGTTCCTCTTCCAGGCCAGGGGCACCCCCTCAGCAAGGACCCAAAAGCCCAGTGCCCATTCCCGGGTCCTGAAGACAGGGGTGGGAGGGTCAGGATTTAGAAGGCTTAGTGCTTGAATGGCAGCTCACATGACTGCCTGGGAGGCAGGACTCCACAGCCTCACACGCCCAGACCAGCCACAGCAGTCGGCCTGGTTAGCCGATGGCATCCCTTGGACGGGACGATCTGTGACCAGGCCCAGGGCCGCAGCTTACTCAGCTGGTCCATCCCAGCAGACAACAGCCCCAGTGGGGGGACCTGGACAGAAGATCCTGGGGGGCTGGAACCCTCCCCAACCCTCACGCCCCATGGCTTCTCTCAATGCTTTTATTTGGCAAACATCTTTATCACTGTCATCATCACCATTGTGGACACGGACATCTGGACCTCTGGAGACTATACATTCACATTGACCCGCACGGCCAACGCGGGGCTCGAGGCGGGGCTGGGCTGGGGGTGGCTGAGGGGCAGGTCCTGGGGTGTCAGGACTGGGGTGAGGGAGGGAGCGCATGAGGAGGCCCCGGGCAGAGGGGCTGTGGAGCAGGGCTGGCTGCTCGTCCATGGTTGCCTTCTACTTTCTGCAGAAGCTGGGAGGGACGGATAAGGCCAGGAGGAGAGGTAGTGGGGACGGGGGTGGTCGCCCGGCTGCCACCTCCTCACAGGCAAGCTCTTGACCCCCACACAGCCACAGTCGCACTCGGAACCTGGTGCTGGGAAGAACACTTCGGCACTCCATTTCACGAGTGGAAAATGGAGGGCATGAGACGCATGGCACAGCCACAGCACATGCTGGCACATGTGTGACACAGCCATGACACCTGGGCCGCACATGGCACTGCACACACCGGTGTGGCCAGCCAGCCTGTAAGGAAACGAGGGGCTGCTTCCTGGCAGAAGCCTCTGGGTACCGCAGGCATGACCAGGCACAGCAACGAGGCAAGGAGAGCCTGGCACGGCTGGGCTGGCGGGCAAGGACACGCTTTGGCAGTGATGAGGTTTGGGGCTTCAGTGGCCTTTGGAGGAGTGACTGGCATTCTTGACTGGCGGGCGAGTAGGCCAGCTGCCCTTGACTGTTCACAAAAACTTTTTTGGATTTTTAGTTAAAGCCTACGAGGGAGAAGCCACGGAAGCAAAGCTGCTTTTCGAGCTGGAGACGGAAATAGTGAAAGACACAGGTCTGCGGGGTTCAGATCTCAGCTCGGAGTGTGTTGGGAGTGGGTGGGGGACGCCCACCGTCTGGTCCATTTCCGAGAGGTTCTTCTACCAACGGAACCAAACTTGGAGAACTTCCTGCTGAAAACACGGGTGAGCCACCCAAGAGGCTTCTTCGTTAGAAAGAAAGCAAATTAATGTCGCCAAGGTAGGAGAGACTGGCGGGGCGAGAAGGCCGGGCACAGCTTGGGCGTGCAGCTCTGCTAAAGCTGTCGGGAGGTCATGGGGTGTTCTGCAGCTGCGGAGCTGGGCGAGGGGTCTGAATGAGGTTGCTGGGTTGCTGGGAGGCTGCCCTGGGCACAGGCTCCAGGGTTCCGGCTTCCTTTCAAAACAGCAGCAGAGGCCCCTGCCAGGGCTGAGTGGGCTGTGGAGCATGGCGTTTGTGGCTGCGTAGGTCAGCGGCCCACGGTGGCATCTAGTGGGCCAGGCAGAGTGGGTGAGCTGGGGCGGGAAGGCCCTGCGGAGCCCGCTTGGCCAGGGCTGGCAGCATCGGGCTGCGGGGGCAGCGGGTCGGCACCCGAGGCAGCCTCTGGGCCCTGCAGGCTCTGGCCACACACGTGGTGGTGCTTCTCCCAGTCCTTGTGCTGGCAGAAGGAGCCGCAGTAACGCGCCGCGTTGCAGCCACTGCACGTCTCACTGGCCTTGCGCCCACAGTTCCAGCAGCTCTGTGGGAGGGAGGGGAGGGCGAGATCAGAGCCCAGCACCCCAATCCTGCCATGCAGACTCAGTGAGGGAGTGGGGGACAGGGCACAGGCGCCCTGACAGCAGCCCCTACCCACGAGGGCTCACGCTATAGGACCACCTCCCCACCTTTACTGGCAGGGGCTGCAAGCACAACAGAGAAGTCGCTGTTTCCGCTCACAAGGCCCTGCCCCTGTGTGCTCAGAGCTGGGCAGCCCCCAAGTGTCCACAGCCCTCCCTGGCCTCCTGCTGTCACAGAGAGGGACCCAGTCCTCAGTCAGGACCCTCAGTACACAGTGTCCGCTGCACCTCGGCATCTGCCCTACCTCACTGGAGTCTTCCTGCTGGTTGACAACGGTCAGTGCATCCTCTGAGGCCTGCCGCTTGGCCTCGGCCAGCGCCCGCTCCATCTTGGCACGCTCAGTGCTGATAAGCGCGTGTGCCTTGCGCTCTGCGTCGGACACAGCCTTCTGCAGCTCCGACAGGGCCTGCCGTTTCACCTCGTTCACCGCCTCCTCTGCAGGGGCCACACGCAGGGCCCCGGTTAGCACATGTAGGGCGGGGTGTGTCCTGGGGCACGGCAGCTCCGGGGGCTGGCAGGCGGTGGGCCCACCCCTCGGTGCAAGCAGGCAGGCCTGGGAACCTGCATTCCAAGCAAGCCCAGGTCCATCTGCCTTCCCAGGCCTTGACCACAGCAGTGCAGATGCGGCCCTGTCCATGGCCCCCGCGTCCCTCTGCCTGCTTAGCCTGAGACCAGTGCTCACCTGGGGAACCTGTCTGCTGTCCAGCTCTACCCAGTGTCCTTTGGCTGGCCTGGGCTACCAGGATGCCAGCCTGTTTGGGGCCTGCCTCAGTCGACCGAGTAGTATTGCATGGGAGGGCCCATCTAAGCATCAGCCCGTGGAAGCACTGCTGAGCCTGTAGCCAGGCCTGGACGCCCAGCCCTGCTCCAGGCAGGCCTCCCCTCTGGAGAAGGTCTGAGGTCCCTGCTCCACTCTGCATGCCACTCACCGGCCTTCCTCCAGATCTCCTCAGGCATGTAGCCGGACAGGGCCCTGGGCAGGAGGTCCCGGGGCACATCTGCAACATGGGTCAGGGCCACGCTTAGCGGGGGCCCAAAGGCCAGGGGAACCCCCGGGCCACCCTGGCCCTCCTGGGCACCCACCTAGCTGGGACCCTTCGGCGCCAGAGCTGCCGAGGGGCCGGGTGGCGGCTGCCAGGGGGCCCTTCAGGTCTTCAGTGTCGCTGCAGCGTCGGATCCAATGGTTGAGCTCCTCGCGGTCAGCCTCCTGGCACCGGCGCAGCACCATGAGCGAACGCCGTGTCTTCTCCACCATGTCCATGAGGCAGTTCAAGAGCTGCGGACGCGGGGTGGGCTTTAGAGGGGTATCAGTTGCTGGACACCTGTGCTGGGCAGAACTCGGAGGCTCCCTCCTCTGGCCTGCCGTGGACCCCTGGGCATCCCCCCAGAGAGGGTGAGGATCTGGGGACTGCCTACTTCCACGTCTGACGTGGCCCGCCCTGGGGTCGGGGGACACTGGGGGTGCTCACTCCATTGAGGTGCTTCCATTCCTCGGCCCACTCGCGCTCCGTCAGCCGGTGGTCAACCACCTCCTCCGGCCGCACCCCAGGCACCCCTGCAGGGGGAGGGTGCACTCAGGCCCTGCCCAGTCCCCTCACCCCCGGCCCGCTGGCTGCAGGCAGGCCTCCCGAGTGCCCCTGTGGTCTGGGACCTTGGCACAGCAGCCCCACTCAGCCCTGTACCCGAGCTCCAGGATGGGAGTGGTACCCTGCTGACCAGCCCTCACCTTGCTCCAGGGAGCTGCAAGCCAGGCTTCCTAGGGGCTGAGGTCTCCCTTCACCCTCAAACCCGAAACACCTGCCTCAAATGACAGGAGGCGTGGGGCAGCCTGCCGTCCTTCCCCGCCCAGAACGGGGCCTGAGACAGTGACAGCTGGCGTTTATTTTTGCATTAGCACAAGCAGTGGGAATTAGCACCTGCCTGACCCCAGCCGTGGCCAGCCAGACGCTGGCACCTGCCGCTTGGCCTGGGCCTGCAGGCTGTGTGCGGTGGAGGTGGGGAGGCGGCCTCCTCTGACCCCAAGGCTGGTGCTTCCAGGTGCCCCTCTCCCCACACAGAGGCTTCGTTCTGGGAAGGGATCCCCTCTACAGAGGAGGGTCAGAGGTCAGATATAGCCACAGAGGCACACCGAGGAAGGACAGGCAGCACCTGCTCGCTCTAGTCCTCAGAGCAGGGCCATGAGCACCTCAGGCCTTCGGCTGCCCCGGGACAAGCTCCAGGGGCCCCCACTGCCCTTGACAGCTAAGGACACAGAAGCCACAGTACAGTCCCCGAGTGTACAGCTCTGATGTCCCCCAACACACGCTGACTCCTGCACACGTGTCCACCTGCCTGGCTCCACTCACCCAGCTGCCGATGGCGCTCCCGCAGCTCTGCAGAGTGGCGGTAGGGGTCGCGGATGTGGTGGGCCAGGGCCATGTCCTCCAGACGGTAGTGCGGGGGTGGAGGTGTGGGCGGGGGCAGGCCACTGCTGGGGCTGTAGCGCTGGGCAGGGCTCAGAGTGCAAGGCCGCTTGCCGAGTGGGTCTCGGTCCAGCCCATTCTCTTTGGTCCTGGTGGCAAGAGCGGGGGCAAGATGGGAGGCAATGGTTAGCACAGGGGTGGGTTGAGGGGGGCAGGTGTCAGACAGGTCTGGCTCTGCGCCTGGGACCTGGGCTGGGGTGTGCAGGGTACCTGACCTGGACGGTGAAAGGGCCTGGCAGAACACTTGAGATCCAGGAGCAGCACAGGGGACAACCCAGCCCCGCCCTGCCAGGTGGCTGCCCCTCAGCCCCTCCCCAGCATCTGGGGCCACAGGGGTGTCGGACACCTGTCTGGCGTCTTCCTCTTGCCATTCTCGTTGACATCCAACAGCTCGGAGGAGTCACTAGGGGAGGAGGCACTGGTGTCCAGCAGCAGGCGCTCGTGCTGGGCCAGGTACTGGGCAGGGGTCTGCTTGGCCTGGCGGGCACAATGTAAGAGTTCCCGCTGCAGCAAGGGTAGGTTTGCCTGTGGGCAGGGAGACAAGGGCTCAGGCAGAGCAGGTGCACAGCACTCTGCCCACTCAGGCCCTGCTGGGGTTACCCCTGGTCCCCAGCTCTGGACAAGGGGGAGGAAGACCTCACTAGGCAGGCACAGGGGCGGGAACTGGGGCTAAGAAGGTGGGGGCCTGGGTGCCTGACCCCTCCTTCACTTGCAGCCTTAGCCTGTATGAAGCTGGAGCATGTGGCAGGGCCACCTTGTGGGCATGTTGCAGCTGCCCCAGTTCTGCTCCGTGCAGCACCTGCACGTGGGCCTCCCAGCATGCACGGGAGGATCCCCTGGCAGAGTGCCATGCCCAGGTCACTTGTCAACAGATGACTCCCCAACTTGTCCCATGCCACCCAGCTGTGAGGGCCTCCCCAGCACCCCTACATCAACGCTGGGAGGTGCCAGCTGGCCACCTGTGCCAGGAACTTGAGCTGGCTAACAAGGCCCCTGGCCCCTTCTCTTCCGGGCCTCTCCTTGGTCACCGTCACAGGCTGGGGGCTGGTATGTCCACCAGCTGCTGTTGGAATAGACGGTACAAACATCTGGGTTCTGACCAGCTGAGGCCAGCTGGTAGCTGGGGTGAGGGTGGGGCTCCAGTCCAGCTGGTAGGGTAGGCTCAGGAGAGGGCCTGGAGAGCTGGGGCCAGGCAGGGCCAGCCAGGCAGCCTTGGCAGAAGGGCAGGGCCCACTACTTGCCCAGCCCAGGCAGCAGCCCCCTCTGGCCCTAGGGGTCTAGGGAGGGACATCAGCTGCTGGTGCTGTGCCAGCCCAGCAAGAAGTGGCTCTGGGCTTTGAGTGGATGTCCAGGCGCTATCACACAAACACACCTGTCGCCTCTCACACACATACCAGTTCAGGCACACACCTGGGGGCACCTGCAGCACACACCTCCTCTGAGGGACAGGAGTGGGGCAGGGCAGGCTGTCCAGGGAGCTGTAGCCAGACGGGCTGGTGTGGCCAGGGCAGCGGCCTGAGTGGTGAGGGGATGGGCACCGACGGGTGCATGTGCTGTTCCTTCTCCCCCCTGGGGTCTGAGCTTGCACTGGGAGCAGCAGAGGTGCAGCTTGAGTCTCCCCGCCCCAACAGCTTGCAGTGCACCTGCCCAGATGTTGGTCTAACACAGAAGTGTTCACCTGTCTTTCCTTCACGCAGGTCACTGGCCTGTTCCAACCCAGCCCTCACACTCACTGCCACCCAGAGCTGGCTTGGCAGCTGTTTTCACTATGTACCAGTTAGCTGTTCCCTCCCCCCATCATGCAGCCACCCCATCAGGCCCCCAGGAGCCCGTCTGAGGGATCCCCTCCCTGCCGCAGGCTCAGGGCTGGCTGGCACAGTGCTCAGCATGGAGCAGCCAGGCGAGTGGCTGGTGGTGAAGCATGGAGCTGGGGGCACCATGGGTGTCTTGAGAGTCCGCAGGAGCCAGGTCAGGGGGGCACCTTTTACCTTCAGGAAGGGGACCACAAAGGGTCGCAGTGGGAAGTTGGTGGCCTCCTGGAGCCTAGCGTGGAACTCCTCGATGGTCAGCGTGGCATTCTGCAGGAGGCAGCCAGCTCTGGTCAGCACATGTCCGCCCAGGTAGATCCCCAGGGTCACATGGGGCAGGGCATGAAGATGGAGGGCAGACGGGCAGGGCCTTGCAGGGACCCAGGGGGTTGGCGTCTCGAGAGGGGCATAGGGCAGGGTCCCGGATGCAACCCACCACCAGCCCGAGCACCAGCGTGCGGACACGTGCGCCAATCTCTGGAGAGATGTCACCGCCGAACTGCTGGAGCGTGGCCAGGAAGCGTTTGAGCTTGCTGAGCTGCCGCGCCCCGCATGCAGGGGGCAGGTGCTGTGTGCACAGCGTGGCCGTGGACGACGACGATGGGCCATTGCTGATGCCACTGGGCGTGGACGGGGTGCCGTGCACGGCTGTGGGTGAGTGGCTGGTGCCGTTCATCACTGCAGGAGAGATGGGTATGAGGGCAGGGGCACTGGCCCCCAGTGGGCTGGCTACCCCCTTTGCCCTGTGTCCAGGAGGGCTCATAGGTCCCTGGAGGTGGAGTGAGCCCCCAGTCTTCATGGTGAGTGGGCCTGCCCTCGGCTCTGCCTCCTCCCACCTGCTGGCACTCAGGTACCTTCCTTCTGGGGACGTGGACACCTGGACGCTGGTCCCCAGGGGCAGGTCAGAGCGGGCTGGGGCCCTGAGTCACTTGGCAGGCCCTTCCCTCTGATAAGGAGAGGCCTCTCTCACAGGTGCACAGCTAACATTCTCGCACACATATGCAGAACACACATGTGTGTCCTCCCATGTCCACAACATGCACTGGTGTGGGATACAGTGCCATCAGAGTCTCCAGCAACCCAGAGTCCCACTACCCCCAGTTTACAGTCCCTACTGTAGCCAGTTTCAACATCCAGCCCCGCCAGCCCCCATACGCCCCAGCCCTGCACGTGCCAGGGTCATGGCTGCAGCCCCACCAATCTCCATACACTCCAGCCCTGTATGTGCCAGGGTCATGGCTGGGTCCAGCCCCGCCAGCCCCCACAAGTCCAGCCCTCAGAAACCCTCCAACCACCCACCCTCATGGACCCTCATGCTGTGGACGAAGCGCAGCAGGTGGTCCTGCCTTCCACAAGGATCAAATGGGCAGGACCCCAGCCCAGAGCTTCTCCTGGGGTGGCAAGGCCCCCACTCTGCCCCACCTGTACCCACTGGGGGCCTGGCAGGTAGGGACGGGCATAGGGGTACTTACACCTCCCCACCTGTGCCCCGAGAGCCTGAGGCAACACAGCCCTGCCCTGGGTGGCCATTCCCACCTCCAGGCTGATGAGGGGTCCCAGGGTCAGAGCCCAGCCAGTTCCAGCACGCTGACTGCCTCCCCTGCTGGCATTCCCCGTAGACCTGGCCAGGGTGCTCTTGTGTTGCTGGCCAAGACGGACACTCATTCCCTGGAGGTCAGGAGCTAGCCACAGCTGCCCTGCCCCTGCCCAGGGCGCCCGGTCCTGCTCTGTGCAGCTCCAAGCAACAAGACCCCACCCCAGGCAGCAGAGGGGTGGGGGGTCTGAATGGACCAGCTGGGACACAAGGGCACAGGTTGACAGTCTGTCCACTGGGGTGACTGGCCGCGCCCAATGCCCCTTTCAGAGGACACGCAGTGAACACTGCTGCACGCATACCCAGTGATAGCCCCCTCCATCCCTACAGGCCAGGAGGTGGTCAGGACCCTAGGAGGCCTTACAGCCACGGCCAACCTGGGCCAGAGGGTCTGGGGCCCCCAGCACCTCCTGAGTCGGACCACCATCCACTCTGCCCGGGCCCCTACCTTCCCTTACCAGCTTGGGTCCCCGCTGGCCGGCGCGTCCTCCCTCCCTCAGGCTGCTGGGCAGTCTCAGCGACTCGCTGAAGAGACGCCGAAAATAACCCCGGCACAAGTGCTTGCGCTCTGGCGACAGGTGTGTTTCTAAGTTAGACCACACACGTGTCCCGCCGGCGCTGGGGGCACACACCCGCAGCCCTGCTGCCTCAGTCTCGGGCCCAGGCCAGGCAAGGAGGACCCCTGACGAAGCCCCCGCAACCACCCTCCTTTCAGTCGGAGGTTCTGTGAACAATGTCCTGGAGCCAGACTGCTGTCAGCCCCAGCACTGAAGACCACACAGTCACTCGTGCCAGAGGCTGCACCGCCCCCTCAAGGGACTGACCCCACCGAGCACAGCCCAAGGGCTTCTGAGTGCTGGCCACCTGCTTTCAGCTGGGAGTGTGGAAGCAACATCCCCTAGGTGTGCAGTGGGCACCACAACTCTGTCTGGCCTATCATCCATGCTGGCACCCAGCGCCCATCTGTCCATCTACCCTGTCCAGCTGCTGGGGCAGAGCTCGGGGGTCCTGTCGGGGAGTGGTGGGTCAGTGGCTGGGCTCGGGGGTCCTGTTGGGGAGTGGTGGGTCAGGGGCTGGGCTCGGGGGTCCTGTCGGAGGCCTGGCCCCTGCCCGGCTGTCTACTTACAGAGGCAGACCATTGACCACTTTAAGCAGCCATGGAAGTGGCCATGGGGCAGGGAGGTCGCAGGCCCGTCCTCTCCATCTGTGAGCAAAAGGAGAAGAGCAGCGGTCAGCAAGGGCCGCTATGCCTGCCCGGGCCTCAGCCTCCTCTCTGTGAGGTGACAGGGGAGCACCCAGGGGGTCCACAGGACTGGGCATTGGTCCTGGGGTTGACAGGACAGGTGACTGCAGACAGAGCCGGGGCCCAGGGGCCTCCGGCAGGAAGAGAGCTCATCTGAGCTGGACAGGCAGTTCTGAGCAGGGAGCGGGGGAGTCCCAGCAAGGGGTGTCCAGGACAGCTGTGGCCTCAGGCCTTGTGTGCCCCCATCCCGCAATAGCCAGACCAAGCCCCGGGTCCTCCCTGCACTACCTTCCTCTAGGGCCATGCCGTGGCTCAGCTCCAAGGTGAATCTGTCCAGTGTGGTCCCTGCCCAGGGACACCACAGCCCTCACGTCCAGGTCAAGGTCAGCCTCCATCCCCCAAGAGACTCCAGAGCTTGGCAGGACCAGCAGCTGAGCAGTGGGGCCACCCCAGGCTGCCGACAGGTGCAGGCTGACAGGTGCAGTTGCTGTTAACCCCTGGCTCACAGCGACCTGAGGCCAGCCCTCCAGATGTGACCAGGGCAGTCTGCTTCCCAAGCTTCTGTGCCTCAGATGGTGCCAGACCTGCTACCCTGAGACAAGGTTCAGGCTAAGGGGCATTCAGCTATCCTGCCAGCCTGGCCTCTGTCCTGCTTGGGGTGGGGGACAGCTGATCATGGCTGCCTGGAGCAGCAGGACCACACCTGCAGAGCCTCAGGTTTGGGGATGGTTCAGAGCCAGCCTGTCTGTCCTCCTGCTGGCAGCTGGCTGGAGCCATGCAACGGTAGCAGACGACACAGCTCACGCAGCCCAGAGGGCAGTGGACGGCACACAAAAATGACACCCTCTACCAGGGGCAGCAGGCCCCAGCCTGCCCTGGCCTCCACCACACCATGAAGTGGCTTGGCCCAGTCCCCAAGGAGGTGCAATCTCAGCTCTAGGGGTAGCCCAGCTCTGTCTGGACACAGCCCAGGCTGGACGGGGATGGCCCAGCTCCATCTGGACGTGGCCCAGCCTGGACGGGGACGGCCCAGCTCTGCCTGGACACAGCCCAGCCTGGACAAGGGACGGCCCAGCCCTGCCTGGACACAGCCCAGCCTGGACGGGGATGGCCCAGCTCCATCTGGACATGGCCCAGCCTGGACGGGGATGGCCCAGCTCTGTCAGGGGATGGCCCAGCTCCATCTGGACACAACCCAGCCTGCATGGGGGAAGGCTCAGCCCAGACAGTGGCTCACACATGCCTAGCACCCTCTGCAAAGCTGCCATGGAGGGCAGTGCCAGCTTCTCAATGCCCAGGAACACAGGGTCCTGGCCAGGCCCACAGCCCCCAGGACCCCTGCAGGGAGGGCTCCTGCAGACCTCAAGGCAGAGTCCCCACTAGACGCAGGCCAAGCCTCCACCCGCCCCCATGCCAGCCCTCCAAGGTCACAGCATCAAAAGGGGCAGGCCCTGGGTGTCCAGGACTAGGTCAGCCAGCTGCTGGCTCAGGGCCAGAGGTCCAGCAAGATACAGGCGAAAGCCGAGGCCAGGGCAGACACAGCCCAGCCTGGCCCTGAGTCAGCTGGACTCCCAGCAGCCCATGTGGTCCATTCCTCACCCCCAAGCCCTGCAGCCCCTCCTAGTCCCTCTCTGGGCTCCATTTGCCCCTATCCTTTTGAGCCCCAAGAGTGACAAGAGAACAGGTACTTGGGCCAGCGCTCACACCAAACTGGTCAGCAGCCACACTGGAGCTGGCCAGCAAGATTCTGCCGACAACCCACCCTGTCCAAAGTGGGCTCTGGACCCCATGGAGGTACTGAACCACCAGGGCAGGCAGTCCCGCAAGCTTCCCCAAAGCACCGTGCCCTCCGCCCCAGCCTTGCTACTTACCCGTGTGAGGTGTGAAGGACGGGGGGCGTGCGGCGCCCTGAGTGGCAGTGGGAGGCGGAGCCGGCACGCTGGGGGGTGTGCACCGGGGCTGCGTCTTCACCTCGGCCGGGGAGTCAGGCATCGTGCCAGCCTTCTTCCTGTCCACTGCGGGAAAAGGGGCAGAGGTGGGCTGAGGGCATGCAGGGACCACTGGGTGGCATTCACAGGACAGAGACTCCTGGGCGGGACGGGCAGCTGTTCACACTCTTCCACCCAGGAGACATACGACCAGCTGAGGCTGGGGACGCATCCATCTCAGATACTGTGGCTGAAAGTCCAGTGAGGCCAGGGACCTTCTGGTCAGCCCTGCCTGCACAGGCACCCAGTACGGGGCTCAACAGGCCCCATGGGGATCCAGGAGAGGGCTTAGGCAGGCCCAGGAGGGCAGGGCGGGGGCGGGGTGGGAAGCAGCCTCACCCTTCAGCACCTGCCATCCCTCGGCTGCCCCTCCTGCCGTGCCCCAGCCTGTGCACAGCCTGATTGCTGGGCACATGTGCAGCCACAGCTGTCGGTGCCCGTCAGCACCCCGCCCGGTGCAGGCCATGGCTAGACCCTGACACAACCAAAGAAGGCAACAGGAAACAGGCTGGTGCTCGCCGGCCCCGGCTGCCCTTGGGCCAGGGCCGTGAGCAGGTCAAGTGTGCCGAAGGCCAGTGGCCTGGCAGAGGTGGTAGCAACGCAGAGAAAACGGAGTGGGGCCTGTGTCTGCTGGGCTCTTGCCGTGACCCTGCCAGGTCACACCCACAGCCACACAGCTGACTCCCACGCAACACGCCCTCACATCCTCCCCTAGGCCGACAAGGTAGGTCCCAGGGCCTTAGATGGGCCACAGGCAGGAGCCACCGTGCTACTGCTGGCCTACATCTTGAGGCCCAAAGAAACTGAGGCACCTGCCTGAGGCCGCACAACAAGGAGACGGTTCTGAGCCTGGAGCCAGGACAGGCAGTGGCTCCCCAGGGTTCCAGGCCCCTCAACAGGGGCCGACAGGGGTGGCAAGTTTGGGAGTCGAGGAACACAGGACTTGGTGCCTTTCCCAGGTCCAGCCTGCTGCCCAGGACTTTGGAGGGGAACTCCTGAGGCTGCAGCCCTCGCCCAGCCTGCTCCTGGCTGTGTGTCCCTGGAGGGGGTTCAGTCCACCCCTCGTAACCTCCCCTCCTTGGTAAATGGAGAAGCATGGTACAAGGCTGGAGTCAGCAGGACAGAGGGGAGGTTGGCATAGGGATGCGGGCAGCATGGGCCTGGGGAAGAGGGGCAGGGTTGAGAGTTGGCCTTGGGTCACTTACCACAGACATGGGGTGAGCAGGTGGCACAGCTCCCATCCCCTGTGGCTGAGAGAGGAAGGTAGGGCCAGGACAGCTGAACCCCAGGGCTGGGTCCCCAAACCTTCCTCGTTGCTTTCCCTTACAAACTGCCCGCTTGCTGGGGTGGGAGCCAGTCCCAGGGGGCATGTGAGGGGGTGAAGGGCTGGTGGTCTCCTTCCCCATGCCAGGTGTGGAAAGCCAAGGGCGGAGAGCTCTAGGCCAGGTCTCAGAAGAGTCAGCACCCCAAGACCCTTGCCGATAGTCGGTGGCTCCCCAAGAACAGCCCCCTCATGGAATGTGAAGTGGGGGTGGTGTCCTGGTGGAGCCCACCCCTCCCAGCTCTGTGGGGTCCACTCTACAGACCCCCAAGCAGTAAACAGCATGGTCAGCGTGCAGCATTAGCATGCCAGGACACAGGCCCAAGGACACCCTCTGATCATTCCAAACCCACCTTGGCTCAGAACAGGACCTGGGCCTCGGGTTTGGGCATCGGGGTCACCCAGAGTGCCAACCGGCCTCCAGAGTGGACGGTGGCTTGGGGCTACTTACAGGGGTCTGGCAGTGTCTCAGCATCACCTCCCAGGACAGGTGGGACCCCTTCCTCACCGCCCCGACCCGAGCCCATGAGCCATGCATCATCTGCCAGGGCCTGGCTCAGTGCTGGGCACCCTGAGGTCAGTGTGCAGACACTAGGGTCCTGCTGGGTGGCCACTCCCACAGAAGGTGGCCAGGGTGTCATCAGCTCCAATCTTTCTCATTCAGAGAACAGGGACCAGAACAGAGCCCCCAGCCCCAGGGCCAGGGCAGGATCATGTGTCCAGTCCACAAAAGGTGACTAGGGCTGACACCAGCTTGCAAGGGGTCAGACTCGGAGTGGGGTGGGCGCTGGGTCCGTCCACAGTTCGCATGCCTGGGCAACTGCTCCCCTCCTGGGGCTGGCTCGGAACAGCAGGCCAAGGAGCCCCAGGACAACCTGGCCTGGCTTCTCCCACACCCTCCACACCACTGAGAATCTGGTACCTGAGGGTCAGGGGTGACCCTGACAGCAAATGGACCTGGGACTGCTTGGACAGGGCCTAGCAGGTGACAGATGGACCTAGCGCCTCCTGGGGCTGAGGCTGGCGGCCCAGGCCTTGGTACCTGTCAGGTGCCTGCCCAGCTCTGCAAGGCCACTACCTTCTCAGCACCAGGGTCGAGCTCACAAGGTCCCTCCCCGACTCCACTTCCAGCCAGCACTTGCAGCGCTCAGCTGTCCCCAAGACACAGTCCAAACAGCACTTGGTGCTTAGTGTGGGGTGAGCTTTGCCCCGACCACCCAAGCTACCCAGCTCACCCAGGCTGGCGTGTGTCCAGCGAGCAGACATGGGGTGAACAGGCGAGCAAGTCCCTCCGCCCCTAAATGCTGCCGACTCAGAGCTGGACCCGGGACCCAGCTCAGTACAGCTGGAAGGCACAAGAGACTGACAGATGGCCACCGGAAGGCCAGTGGTGGGGGTAGGGCAGCCTCACCCCATCCCTGCTCCTGTGGGTGGGGAACTCCTCATCAGAGCAGCGCTACCCCACCTCTGGGTATCCACTCCAGGAGACCACGGAGCAGGTCTCTGTCTTCCTGGACTGAAGATGCCAGCACGATGACCCAGCAGAGGGTCACAGACAACCCTCCCGAGTTCAAACGCAGGGTTCAAGAAGGGCAGTGCCTGTGCCTACTGACTCGAACGTCATCAGGGCCAGCCACACCTGTGAGCTGCCTAGACCTCCCCGACGCCTGCCTGGAGCCAAAAGAGAGCCAGCTGGACACGGAAGACACAGGAAGGCCGCAGCTGTGTCTGATGGCACCATGGGACATGGACACGGGCTCTTGAGTCGGCTCAGGTGTTGGCCGCCAGGATGGAAGGAGAGCGTAGGGCCCAGAGCCGGCCTGGCTGGAGGCGGCCTCGCTGCTGCACGTGTGTGTGCAGCCCCTCCCAGCGGGGAGGACCAGAGCTGTGTCGACAGGGCTTGGGGGCAAGGGGCTTGCTCGCTGTGGCTCCCTGGTCACCCCGTCTCTGCTTGCTGGACCAAGCAGGGCCCTGTGAACCACCCAACTGCCACCACTGAGCAGCGACTGACATGGTAGGTGGCACAACTCGAGACTCAACATGAACAGACATGTGGAGGAGGCAGTGCCCCAGGCTGGGGGCTCCCAGTGAGAGGCGTGCCCTCGCCTGCTTTTCTGCAGTGGAGTCTGGGTGAGCAAGTGCCCGGACACACGGGACCCTTTTGCTGCAGGCCCCGGGGCAGCCCTCTGGAGCCTGGGCTGAGTTGGCAGCTCTTGGGGGCTGGGGCAGAACTCTTCCAACTCTACCCAGGCCCAGATGGGCCCCAGATGTCCAGGGCCTGCTGGCCCGCAGAGGAAGCACATTCCTTGCCCAGCTGCTGCAGCTGCGCTGCCAGCAACTCCCGAGAGCTGTGGGGGAGGCAGCTCTGCCATCTGTGCTGCTGGCCCGCCACGGGAGGATGGCCGTCCTCACCCGTAGTCCTGGCATGCTGGGGGCTCAGGAACATCGGATCCCACCCCATCCCCCACGCACACGGTCACCAAGGCCAGCTCTGCGGCCCAGCCCAGCTCGGAGTGTGCACAGCGGCAACAGCTAATGGGGGGCCTGGCATCAGAGGGGGGCCTGGCATCAGAGGGGGGTCTGGCATCAGAGGTGGCAGGTTGTGGGTGCATGGATGAATTGATGGTTGGGTCGATGAGTAAATGGACAGGCAAGGGAGCGGGGAGCAGGTGGACAGCCAGAGGTGGCTAGGTACATGGGTACGTGGACAGGTGGGTGGTGGGACAGGCAAGTGGATGGTGGGTGGCTGCAAGCTGAGGGTGGCAGGCCTAGGTCTCCCTGGCAAGACCCTTCCCCCCCCGCCGCGGCCACTCCCGTCCTGCTCAAGGACAGTGCGGCCGCCTCCTCCCTTCCATCACTTGTCTGCTGAGGCCGCGGCACAGCCCAGGCCCCACAGGTCGGGTAGGCGGTGCAGCTGGAAGGGCCTGGCTCCTGGCTCGGGGTGGGTCCTCGCCTGCATGGGGCCACGTGGGAGGGCTCCCAGAGGTGCAGAGCCCACAGCTGCGTTCCGCAGGAAGCCAATGGTCAGAGAACGTGTGTAGCTGCACACTGTGCACCTGTGTGTGTGAGCAGGTGACCCCAGGAACAGACGCACCCCTGCACCATTTCTGGTGGGGAGCGAGGAGGGGAGCAGCTGGGAGTCCACCCAGGGCTGAGAGCTCCAAGTCAACCCCACAGCACATGCGTTATGCACACGTGCCACATGCGTGGCGAGTCCAGGGGGCTCTAGGGACCGGGGACAGGGTCCCCCCCAGGACACAGTGAACCAGGCCCCGCCCCTGGCCTGAGGGATCCCTAGTCCTCTCCTTGGGAGGGGCAGGGCAGGAAATAAAACAGATTTCACAAGCCGCCTCTACCATTGTTTATGTAAACAGGTAAATTGTTTCCTGCCTCAATTAAAAACATCTGCCACATAAATGAATACCAATTAACTCATCCTGTTTTTAATTACTCTGTTAATTACACGCAGGCAGCAGGAAGAAGGGCCCTCGCCTCCCTGCCCACAGAGCTGTTGACGGGCTTTGGCGACTGTGTGACAGGGGCCCAGCGGCCACTCCTCCAGGACTTCCTACAGCCCCTGGGCCACCCATCCTGGACCCCTGATCCTGCTGGCCCCTCCTCACTTCCTCCTCCACCTATGTCCAGCTGAGCAAACGTCCAGTGGAGAAAGGACACCTGAGTGGCCTCGCCCACTCCTGGGTGACAC